CCCCCCGCCCGCCGCCCCTGAAGGGATGACAGGCATGGTTCTTTCCCTGCCCTTCCTCTTCACGTCTCCTCTCCTGTAGCCTGGCCTCGATGTGGGTGTCAGGGTGGCTGACGGGTGCTGCACTCACAACATGTTTAGCACTTGCCCAGTTTTTTGTGCTTGGACAGCTTCTCTGAATGCTGTCGGCAGCCCAGCGCCCACCCTGTCCCCTCCTCCAGCGCAGGAGGCAACCGATCAATGTTTCTCTCTCATCATTGATGTTTCTCTCTCGCTCCCTCTCCTTACCTCTCTCTCTCAAATCAATAAAACAAAAATATATTTAAAAAAATAAATAAAAACAGCCTCCAAGCTGAGGGGGGAGGAGCAACAGGCAGGTGAGGGCCTGCACCAGCCCTGAGGCCTCGCACTCACATCTGGCGCTTCCTTTGCAGCAGCACCTCACCGACCCACTCCCACCCGCTGGAGACCCTGCCCATGGGCAGCGATGTAAGTGTGTGGCCCTGCGTGTCTTGTCCCTGGGCCCTGCCCGTCCTGTCCCCGCGGCCCCATGGCCTCCTGGCCCCACGGCCTGTCTCTGGGCCACCATGTCAAGGCTCCCCCCTCTCCCGCAGCACCTGCTCCCATCCGCCTCCATCCAGGATGCCCAGCAGTGGCTGCACCGCCACAGGTTCTCGCAGTTCTGCCGGCTCTTCGCCAGCTTCTCAGGTGAGCGGCTCTGGACATGCGGGACCTTGGAAATGGGGACCTCGGAACTGCGCAGCAAGGCCAGTTACCTCCCGGGACGCGCCCTCAAGGCCAGGGGCTGTGGCTTGTCCTGGGGACCCAGAGCGGTGTGGGCCACTCACTCACACTTGCTGACCTGGGCCCAGTGCTGAGCGCCGGGGTCCTGCCCGAGAAGCTCCCAGCTGAGTGCAGCTCTAAGGGAGGGTCACCTGGCACCTTACCAGCATCTGCCACACCTGCCAGGCTCCTGTCTGCCTGGGTTGGCCCCTGAGCCATGCAGGCCAGTGCACATGCGACAAGACTCCCTGGTAGCTCTCCCACCAAATGCTGCTCGTCACATGGGGTCCAGGGCCACTCATGGAAGGTGGGGGCGAAGCCCCAGGTGAGAAGGGAAAGCTGTTCTATCTCTTTAAAAGGTGTTTCAGCCTTACTGATGATTCATCAGGTGGAAGCTGGAGCTAGGAGCTATGGGTGCGAGAGTAAACTGAGCGTGAGCCATCCACCAAGCAGAGTGAGTCCAGAGGGACAGGGACAGGAGCAGGTCAGTCCAGAGGGACAGGGACAGGAGCAGGTCAGTCCAGAGGGACAGGGACAGGAGCAGGTCAGTCCAGAGGGACAGGGACAGGAGCAGGTCGGTCCAGAGGGACAGGGACAGGAGCAGGTCGGTCCAGAGGGACAGGGACAGGGACAGGAGCAGGTCAGTCCAGAGGGACAGGGACAGGAGCAGGTCGGTCCAGAGGGACAGGGACAGGGACAGGAGCAGGTCAGTCCAGAGGGACAGGGAGAAGGTCAGTCCAGAGGGACAGGGACAGGGACAGGAGCAGGTCAGTCCAGTTGGCCAGAGACCGAAGAGGAGAGTGGCTCCCTAGGACTGACCTCTGTGGCAGTGGGAAGAAAGCCCCCAGTTGTTTTCCAGCTCAGCCTTTGTCAGGATGGGGAGGGGGTGTGTGAGGAGGGCCTGACAGGGACCCTGTCCCCATGGAGTCAGTGTGGACACATAAACCAGGCGTTGCAGAGTGGTGTGACCCATCTGGGATGGGAAGGCTCAGAGGAGGGTCCTGGCCTGGCGGGGGTGCGGGGAGGGCCGGCTGTGGTCTTGAGTAGGGTGGTCAGCATAGGCCTCACTGAGAAGGGGTCTTGAGTAAAGGCTGAAACGAGGCCAGAGAGCGAGCCCCGTGGGTCATGGGGAGGGGTGGGGCTCGCTTTGCAAGCAGAGGGAAATGCCAAGGCTGCCAGGAGACACCTGCCTGGTGTGGCCATGCAGCAGGGATCCGGCTGAGGGGCTGAGGGGATGGGAAGGGGTGAGGGGTAGATGTGCTGAGGGCCCTGTGGGACACTGGAAGGACTTTGGGTTTCTTTAAAAATAAATGTTTTATTGATTTTAGAGAGAAGGGAGAGGGAGAGAGAGAAAAACATCAATTGGTTGCCTCCCGTATGCACCCCAACCAGGGATTGAACCCACAACCTGGGTATGTGCCCTGACTGGGAATCAAACCAGCGACCTTTCGGTGCATGGGATGATGCTCATCCAGCTGAGCTCCACCGGCAGGGTGGCTTCCATCCCCAGTGGGAAGGGAGCTGTTGTGCCTACAGAATTGTACCCAAAACACCGTATTAACTGTAAGAAGTCAGGACAGCGGTTCCCAGAGCCGGGGCAGTGCTGGCGCGAGGGCTGTGGGATGCTGGGCGCGCTCTGCCCCGTGTGTGTGTGTGCTGGCTGCACGGTGCGTGTGGAATGGCTGCAGCCATGAGCACGTATTCTGCCTGCAGACGAGTGTACATGGGATCCATGCCCCGCCCCCTCAGAGGTACACATGCATCATATGCCGAGAATACAGAGGCTGGGGCTGGGGGGGAGGGGGCAGGCACAGCTTCTGTAAACGCCAGTCCTGCTGCCTTTTGTGAGCATGTCGTGTAGCTTCTGACATTTTGGGGGCTGTGATCTGATGTTGTTTGGCTCTTTGCTGCTTTTTGCTCCACGGAACGTCTGGTGTCCGTGAGGATGAGGCTGGCTCCCTGTCCCCTGCCCTCTGCCCCGGTGCCAGGTCTGCGGGGTTTGGGGATGGGGCCTTTCTGTGTCCCATGTAACAGGCAGTCCCACGTGCCTGCCCAGGTGCTGACTTGCTGAAGATGTCTCGAGACGATCTGGTGCAGATCTGTGGCCCCGCAGATGGGATCCGGCTCTTCAATGCCATCAAAGGCAGGTGGGTGTCAGCGTCCAGCTGGAGGCAGGGCGGGCAGGAAGCCGACACGGCCTTGGGGCAAGTGTAGGAGGAGATGCGGTGGAGGGTGAGGGGCAGGGGCTGCGCACGCACCGGAACCCG